AGCGTATCATACTCTTGAAGGTTGAGCTTGTTTGTTTGATTCGATCTTAGTAAAATATCTTGTTACTGAGGTTTTTCATGTTCAAAGTAAGATTAAGTTCTGATGGTTGATCATAAAACATAATATGAAATGTTCAAAAATGAATGTCTTCTACTAGTTGTCAATATCCTCAACAAGCTCTCTATTGATGCAGAAATTAAAATGAAACGTGAAAAAGAAGTTTGCACTTTCAGTTTGATTGATTACTCATAAGGACCTGAAGATAACTTATATTCCAATCACTCTCCTTCAATTTGTTCACAGTTTCTGGCTTCTATATGCAAAAAGCTGTCAACTTTAAGTACTTATTGCACAGTAATGACTTCCTACAGAATCAAAACTCTACCCAGCAATTGTTCATATCATTAATCACTGATTTTTTTTTTTACTTGATACCTTAAATATCTTAGTATACTAAGAAATAATATCTACCAGCAATTCTCTTATTACTTGTAGTGGTAACATCAAACAAACACGAACAATACATATAACGCCGAAGAAAATGCAAAATATAAGATCATAATTTCAATATGCGAGGCTTCTCATCGAGCCATGAACACTTCCCGATCGTAATTTCCTCATCGAACCACTTCTTGATGGCTGAGGTGGCGGCGCATGGAAATCCGAATGCATCTCGGTGAAAAATTTGTCGACAATCTCTACATAAGTCGGGCAGTTGAGCCTCGAGTAGTAATGCAAGACTTCTTCAACGTCTAGCACGTGATCCATATCGCTCATGTTCATCATCTCCAAATCTTTCATCTTTCGAGCTAATAAATCGACACCTCTAAAGCTCGACTCTTTCGTTTTCTTCGCCGAGTTTTTCCTCACATTCTTTTCTTCCTTTGAGCATTCTAATCCCCTGCAGCTTGCAAAGCTGATGGATCTTGTGGTGGTGATATGCTCGTTTTTCTTGGTTTGCGCATTTGCCGAATTAATCCGAACTTCTTTATTCTTAATTTTTGCCTTTACTTCGATGGAATCCCATTTTTCGGAGTAGCTTCTGCATAATGTACTGTCCACCACTTGCAATGTGGGATTTGGAGAAGGATTTGTGGGTTGTTCTTGGTATTTCACAAAGATGAGGGACTTTTTGAGATTCTTGAAAGTTTTGTGGAAGAGTTTCTTGGTTTTGCTTAGAGTTTCTTTGATGATCACCATATGTGGTTTTACTTTTGCTGTGCTGCTCATCTTTATTGGGCTATCTGCATTTTTTTTTGACATAAGCTTCAAAATTTGTTGTGATTGTTTTGGCTAGTAGGAACTTTGAGGTGTTGTGTTGTACCAAATATATTAATAATAATAAGAAGAAGAAGAAAAAATAAATAATAAATAAATTGAAAGATAAATTCAAACAAAATTAAAGTCTTCTTTTTGGGTTTACCTTGGGAGAAAGTGCAATGAGGAAGGGAGAAGCTTCTTAGTTTTGGTACCACCATTAGTTCAGTTGTGTGCTGTACTGTCTCCATGAGAGTGACTATTTGAAAGTTGAGACTTTTCTTCTATTTTATTATTATTTTTTTTGTTTTTTTGTTTTTTTAAGTTAATCTTGGATTTATTGAGTTGCAACTTTCCATAAGTCTTTTTTTCTTGTGCAGATACTCCCTTTTAAAGTGGTATATCTTAATCCCAACATTATTCACTCTAAAAATTAGATTATTGTTATTTGGGCTATTTATTTATGCATCTATCTTCTATCACTAATCCCCTAGATGGGCTAACTTCAATAATTATATGAAAAAATTATCACTTAACACTGCCCAAAGCTGTCCTAAAGGTAAAGCACCCTTAGGCTATCTTTTTAGACAATTAGAAACATAGGGCCTAAAATAATAAAATAAGGAACAATTAATTATGGGAATAAGCATTAATTTAAGCAATTCATTGTAAATTCTCCTTACAATTAAGAATTAAAAAATAAATTATTGTAGCATTTATAGGGGAGAGGTGTTAGGAATTTAGGACCCCTAAGGTTCCCTACCCTCATTAGGAGTTTGGCACCCATTTATTATTTGGTTGCTAGGACCAAAAGAGATAAAGGAAAATTTTAATATCACCACAAGGATAGTCACTTTCATACAGTTTTTCCATTTGCATTATCAAGTCTCAAGTGCAGATAGTTTATTATGTAGTTACTAAACGTAACAAACTGCTCGTTTAAACGATAATTTAACTCAATAAGGCTCGAGAATAAATTTTTTTACGTAGTTTTATGAAATTTTATCATAATTGTAACTGATTTTGGTTTGTTTAGGAGTAAAACACATTACGGTTTGGTGCAAAACAATATCGACCGCGAAAAATCGAAAAGTATAACCTTTTAAAAAATTACATCTGAATATGCACCACAACATATAAAATATATTGAATCAAAACTGAAACTATAATTTTTCTAATATTAAAAAAGTCTAAAAAAACCGCACAGTAATGCATTATTCTGCTTCGGTTTTAGTTTTGTCTCACTTTCTCTATATATTTATATTTAAGTTGGTGCAGTTTGTAGTAGAACCGCACTAAATTGAAAAAAAAAAAATGAAAACTAAACTTGTAAAAAATAATAACTGCACCACACCTAAATGTTGAAAAAAATAGACTACACCGCATTGCACAGACTCGATTTTGTGATTTCGGTTCAATTTTGCTCACTCTAGAGTTCATGCTCGAGCTCGAGTATGAGAAGGTTGAACTCTCCTTTTACAATAGTTTATTATTAGATTATTTTAAAATTAAATTATTAAATTTATATAATTAGATTTTTCTTGAACGTTGGGTTGTCAGCAACATTATCGGCCCAAAACGTACTCAATTTCCGGTCAGCAATAATGAAGTCCATTTATAGCCCAGTATCCAAAGCAGCCCAAAAACTAAAACCACTCTTCAACCCTTCGTATAAAACCCCTTCTTAAACGCCGCCACTCATCTTCCCCAATCTCACATAGCTCACCGGCGAAGCTAGGGTTTCAGCGTCTTCTAAGCCATGGTAAGATCGATTTTTATCTCGTCTAAATGCAAAAATCTTTTGATTCACCTGATTTTTTTTGCTGATCTTCTCAATTGCGAGATGATTTTGTTTCAGTGTGACTTTAATCTGCT